ATAGGCAGCCCAGACGCTGTAAACAAGGACAGAAAACATCTCGGCCCAGACAGGTGTTTCTCATTCATCATCCTTGCCTGGGAGGCTAGGTAAACCCTGCTTCAAAGGAACATGCCACACACGAACAAATGTGCTGCTGAAGTCGAGGGTGATTCATTCCCTCTCAAGGATTACATATTTGAGGGCAGAGTTCGCCACAGGCTCCTTTACATAGTGAGCTTCTTGACTGCTCTCCAAAGCAAGAGCTGATTTCCAGACAGGGAATTCGAACCCAGCCCAGCAGACACAAATCTATTGCATGAAGTAAGGCACCCTTGGTGAAAAGCTAGTTAAATCAGCACCACTTTCTAGTTGCCTGTACACATTGTCAAGTTCACTGGCCACAGGCATCTGTAGAGTGCAAAAAACAGAACGGCAAAAACTCACCAAGGCCTCACACCCAGAAAAAGGGAGTGGGGGTGGGGAATCATCTGGCCTGAGCAACAGGCAGTGGTTTTGTCTTTTTTTTTTTTTTCCATTATAGCATCTCCAATGCCTAGACCAGTCCCTGGCACATACTTGATACCCAATAAACATTTGTTGATGAATGTGTGACTAGGAGACCCTACGACATCACTGGGAAGGAAATAAGATGGAGAAGACATTATAGCTCTGTAGTTAGAAGTAATCCTTTAATAAGCCACTAAGGGTCGGTCTGGTGGGTGAGTCTCCCAAGAAGCATGCTCATGGAACAATGGATGGTGACCAAATTGCTGTCCAAGGCATGTGGGTTCAGTTAACTAAAGGCCTCTGGTTGGACTAAGTGGAGTATGCACATTCCCATCTGGGCACAAAGAGACCTGCCCAGCTGTCTCCTTTTCCACTCTTTGTCCATGGACTGCTCAGCCTCTGTCTCAAGAAATATTGAATATTTAGAGAGCATTTGTTTCAAAGGACACAAAATCATCAGAAAGCCTGGGGTGACCACGTGCCTCAGTTTAGCTTTGGCCATACATAGTTTGATCCAGGACCATTTTTTAAGAGCTAAAAAATGCACAAAATTTTTGAAGAGTGCTACTGAACTGTTCCTTCAGGTTGTTTCTGCATGAAAGATCTCTGCAGGTGGGCTATAACCATCATTTTAAAAGCTCAGCCATATGGGAAAGAAGCTAACATTTATCTAGTGCCAATCATATACCAGAATGCATAAACTAGACACTTTTGGTATATTATTTAATCCTATGAATGTACTACGAGGGAGGTGCTATACCTCTTTTGCAGATAGGAACTGAGGCCCAAAGGTAGTACGTAACTTGCCTAAGCTCACTCAGCCCATCTATCACAGGCTGGCTGATTCCATGCTGACTCAACACACAACTCGAAGATGGCATTCAGAAAACACCCGTGATTTTAAGAGAACCAAATCCTTTTGACCAATAAATGTCCCTGACTTTTTCAGTGACTGACACATTTGTTGGGGTGCACTGTTTGGCCTGGCACAGAGTAAGAGTGTCAAGGGGACCTATGTCCCCTCCCAGGAGATGAGGTAAGGCTCCAAATGTTTTCCCGAGGCCCCCTTAAGCCTAGCCAGTCTATTTCGACTTAACGACTTCTGACTGCAGTGCAAGTCTGGGTGATAATGAGCTGTGTAGGAGAATGTGAGCGTTCTGTTGTGTTGAACAGGCCCCTGATGAGAATAGCTTAACTCCCCTCGCAAAGCGGCTAGAGTGCACAGTGGCACTGTCTCTTGGAAAAATAACACCACCGAGGCATTGCAGAGATGTAGGTGGGAATGGCACAGAACGTAAGAACATGTTGGCACTGTCTGTTTAAAATAGCAAAAGCAGCAGAAAGACATGAATACAGTAATTCTAACCTTGTTAAACTAAAAACATTCCTCGAGTCCTCTTGGGAAACTACTTTGCTTCACAAGGAGGGAGGTGAACCAGCTTCTTCGAGGTCAGTTTCCTTTGGCGATTTTCCTATTTCACTCTCCATCTAACTGGCACATGAGAAGAGTAGACATAACCTGAAGATGCCAAGTGAAAGTGTGGAGGTTTGGAATGAGCTTTATTTTTAAAAGGCCTTCCTTTGGGTAAACCCACTAAAAAACCTTTGACCCAGAGACTACACTCCTAAGAAGGACAACAGCCTCCAGGCTTCCCGGGCACATGTGGCTCTGACACTTACCTTGAACAAGGAAACTCATTCATCTGTGTGTATTTCCTCATGTGTAAAACGGGGATAATAAAATTATCTACCCATAAGTTTTTTTGTAAAGATTAAGTGAGATAATCCATGTAAACCAGCACAGTACCAGTACCAAATACATAGGAAGCCCTCAATTGTCTCAACTGTTTATTATTATTACCTTCAAGACCCAATCACAAACATAGCCAAAGCTTTGTGCTACGACATTCAATGCAGCATTGTTTATGATAACGAAAAATATGAAGCAATCTAAAAACCTAAAAGTAGGGGACTGATTAAGCAAAATAGGCTGCATATCTGGTCCAGAAAGATAATGGGGCCATTAAAACTTCTGGCTATGAAAACTAAATAATAACATTTTTTAAACGCTTATGATATAATAAGTGGGAAAAAAGTAGTGTATAAAATTGCATATATAGTATATTTACAACTATATAAAACAAAAACCAAATCTTATAAATAGAGGGAAAAAAGATTGACAGGAAATACATGAAAATGCATTAGGATGAGGGAACTCTGGGTAATTTTTAGTTTTCTATTCTCTATATTCCAAAGTGTTTTATATAGTTGCATGATTTTTAGAGTAAAAATATACAAAATAATATTAAAAACTATGTTAAAATTCTTGCTTTTTTGAGTGCAATCTGCACTAAGGCTCAAAGGTTGCAGAACTGAATGCTATTTCTATTTATTTTATCATGTTCAGCAGAGAGGACCGGATGGCTGTAGGGTAGGCAAAATAATTTCCAGACTTACAAATTCTTGATAGTTGGTTCCCTGGAAGCTTCAATAAACAAGCTTGGATTTTTCCTTATTTAGGACACTCTGTCTAATATTTCTATGCCAGTTTCTGATCAACTTTCCTGTGGTTGCCACGAATGTTCTAGCTGACCCTTGGTCAGGGAAGCCAGTAAGGCCAAGGAAGCTAGTCAGGCTCCAGGCACTTAGTGAGAGCCTGCCTCGGTGTTCACGGTGGACAAGATGAACTTGGTCAAGACCAAGCCTGTCCTAAAAAGCACTTTATTCTCAGTCTCTCTCCTCCACAACACCATTCTCTAACCTGCCCCTCCCTCTCTCCTTTCATTCACAAGCGCTCTTTGCACTCCCACTGTGAGCCCGGTGCTATGCTAGAAGCTGAGGATAGAGGTGGATGACACTCAGCTCCTGCCTTGAAAGAGGTCAGCCCCAGGACCACAGAGGGAACAAACACAATCCCAGTGCAATATGACGGGGGCCATGAAGGAATATCAGCGCTGTAGAGCCAAAGTGGAGGGCATTGCTAACCGTGCATGGGGCCTGGGCCCACAGCGCAGTAGAGGTGGCATCTGAGGGAGGTTTGGAATGGGCCAACGTTTGCCAGGGTAGGAGAAGGGCTGGGGAGGGCATTCCAGGCTGAGGAACAGCAGGTACAAAAGCACTGTGAGGGCAAGGTGTTGTGGGGGAAGGCTGTGAGATCAACTGTGGAGCTGGCGTCTCATGGGGTTCAGTTGGGGAGAGGGAAGAGGAGTCAGCATGCAAAGAGACCATGCTAAGGGGGTTGGCCTGAGTCATACAGGCTAAAAGTCAACGGAAGTTTTGAAGCAGGGGAGAGACATGCTCAGATTCTCTTTTAGGAAGATAATGCTGGTAGCACTGTGGAGCATGGCTCGTTGAAGGGGTGTCACCAGTGGCAGGGGGACAAATGAGGGGGTGGCCACAGTAGTATGGGGACTGCTAAGTAGGGCTTTTCAGGGTCTTGCAGTGGGAATGGGGTGAGGAACCAGATCAGAGAGTTGTGACTGGTGTGGAAGTGACAACTCTGGCTGACTGGTTGGATCTGGGGGTGGTGACAGAAATCAAGGATGGATGAATGGGTATGGCCATGCCAATAACTAAGATAGGAAACTTCCGAGAAATGGGTTCCGCTTGGGATAATAAACTTAGTTTGGGACAGGTTGAGTAAAATGTGCCAAGGGGTGTCTGGGCAGTTGATTAGAGAGGTCTTGCCATCAACGACAATTCTAGGCTGGAGATATTGATCAGGAAGGTAACCGCACAGCAGTGGGCGGATGCTCTAGAAATAGATGAGGTGACCCTGGTGGACTACAGGACAGGATTCTTTGGAAGAACAATGTTTCAAGACATTCAACCTTCAAAATTAGATTTGACAGAGGGTTGCCTGAGGGTCTATGGAGGCTCTAAACTCCATGAATAGAGTTTTCTTTTCCATGTGCATGCCTGATGAATCTTCAGTTCAAGTTTTTCCATTCGTTTGTTTTTGCTGACTCTGACAATGAGTGGTGTACAGTGAATGCAGGCTTTAGAACAGGACAGAGCTGGGTTCCTGGCCCAGCTCCCTGACTCAGGATGAAGCGGTAAATGTCTCTCACCCAGTTTCCTGCACTGTAGAAGATGGAGAATGACACCTAATACTCTCAGAGTTGTTAGGTTTGCAATATGATGTATGTCTGGTTGGTAATATAAAAGCCTGTAACTTCAGTCCTACAGTATATTACACAAGCTAAATCAAAAGGCTTCTCTTGCTAAAGATATGTCATTTATAGAATTTATAATCTTTAGGCCCCAACTAGTATATTTTAAACTGAAAATGTGTGTTGATTTTAATGTTTGAGCTGGCTATGGCATTTCAATTATTAAAAAGTGACTAGAAAGTTCTAGATGACAGGGCACATTTATTTTTCTTCCCATCCTGACTTTTCAAAAAAAAAAAAAAAAAGCTAGTATATGAATTACAAATGCTGGATGAGCTCAGGCTCTCAAAAATGCATTATCATTTTCACAGTCATCTAATTTAGAGACAGTGGAACAAATCCAAGTAACAATTTTATTCTAGTCTACAGCACAATTTTTTACATACATTTTAGTGGTTTTGACAGTGTTACTTTTGAGTAGACTTCAAATGAATCTACAAAAGTTAATATATTAAAAATAAAATATACACAATAAAACAACAGGCATCTAGATGTTCAGAATCATGCAGAAAGGGGTGGTCTGGTTGTCGTTATCACTGGGTACTTCGCCTATTTAAGAATTCACCAGCAAATACCAGTTCTTCTGTGCCTCATTCCCATACAATTCACCAAAATCAGAGCATTCTAAACATACACATACAAAATAAACCCTCTTTTAAAGCCAAATCAGTACAAAATTTCAATGAATGAGACTAAATGTATCATCAAACCAACAATTCCATTGATCAAACCCATTACTAGAAAGTAGTCGATGTCAGCACCCAATCTAAAGGCAGGGTCAGCTCATTTATGAAAACACCAACAAGAGATTAACCAACAAAACAACTAATATGTTAATCTTAATATAAGACACTTAGGGAAAACCAAAAATAATATATTAAATATCACTCCACTGAGCCAGGATATAACCCATGGACCACCGACACATGAGTTTCTATCTGTCAAACAGTGCTTTAAATATTTTTCTATGAAAAAGAAAAGTATATCAGGAGATGCAGAGGAAAGGTAGAAATGTGAATTCATGCATCTAGTTTCATAATTTAAAATGAATATCAAATTGATAATATAAAGCTAAGTGACGATGACTTAACTGTCGGGCACCAAACAGACAATACCACTGTTCACTGTAATTCGTAAGTCTCTTCAGGAGTTTTCAGTGGATGGCCAACCCAATAATACTCTCGTAATTCAGATGGAATACTCATCCACTGTTTTCAGAGACCCTGAAGAAAACATGACAAAGGCAAAGAGAAAAAGTTGAATCTTCTGAAAAAGTTGATGATATCAAAATACTTGTCCATCATTGGTAAACCAAACTAGGTCAAGTAGATGGCCCAAAGCAGCACAGAATTCAGAGTCAGAGGCTGGCAAAAAGTTTGGAAAACTGCAGTTTTTAAAAATTGGCAATTTCTCCATGCTTAATAAAACTATCAGAAGAGGTATAATGTTCGTTTGTGGAATGTTGACAGCTTGCTGCAAAAATTCACATGGATGAGGAAACGCAGAGATGCGCTTCAATGAAATATTTTTTAAAAATTTACAAAAAACTAAGGTTTCTATTTAAAAAATAACCATGTTATGCCAAGATGAAACATGGTAAAAGTAGTGTAAGTTCTGTCCATGATTCTTTACACAGCTAATGGGAAAGAGATAGAAATAATTTTCTCTTAAAAAGGAAGATTTGTTATTGCACTGACTTTTACAACCTGACTTAGTAATTTAGAAAAATCATGTAGTAAAATCTGTAAAATTAAAATACAAAATTCTGGTTTGTAAACATCAGTTGGCCAAGTCTATCCAGAGTCCTTCATGATAGTGGAATGGAATGAATAATTAATTCACTACCTTATTTATTTGCTGTGAGGGGGAAAATTCCAGAACACAGCCTTTATACTTTCACAGTAATTATATTCAAAAGATATAAAGGAAGTCAGTGCAGTTGTCTTCTTTTTCTCTGTGCAATTTTCGGCTCTTACCCCACTCCCAAGTGCCATAATTGAAATAATACTGTTTTGGAGACCTAGTACAGATTGGTCATAAATGGCGCATAAAGTCTGTAGGGCTTCGGTAAAGATATTTCCAAATGGCATAGTAATGCACTGCAGCTGCCGTGGCCACAAACAGGTGCCAGATGGCATGGGCAAATGGAATGATGCCATCGCTCTTGAAGAACACAACTCCCAGGCAATAAATTAAGCCCCCACAGGCAAGTTCGTGAAGTCCATCGGTGTTATTCTGTCAACAGAGGAAAAAAATAAAAAGGTTTTGATGTTACGTTGATGTGACAAGCTAAAGAGATAACTGCAATCCCCCCTAAGCCTCCTGATTTTCTAGACAATGAAGCGGCTCTGCATGGACAGAATCCTGACCTGTAAACATGAACTAAACTTAAAAGTCTCTCAGACATCCACCTGGATTACCCTCTGAGTTGACCGTCTTGATTTGACCAAGCAGTAGGGTTACAGGTCCCACAGTGACAAGCAGCACTTTCTGCTCATCTATGGCCTGTTGAAGCAGACTGCAACTGCATCATGACACGGTAGTTCATTTTAATAAAGTACAATCCCTGGCTTTCATCTTCCTCTTTAAAAGCTCTCCTCCCTACGAGGCACGCCCACGCCACTCCATTTATAATTTACATCTCAGCCACAGTCTTCTCTTCCCTTTGTCCTCCTCAAACACTGTTTGACACTGATTGCTTTTTTTGTGACTTTCCCTGCTTGTGTGAACTTGCAGTTTCCTTACGGCTGACACAGGAAAATCTTAGCTAGACGTGACCTCTGAGATCAGAGATCATACGGTACAACATACTTCCTAACCTTCTAGACGTTGCCAGGCCTTTTTGTCCCTGAGCCTGGGAGTTTCTTAGCTTAGCAGGAAGTTAACAGTTGTGTGTGCTTTAGCACAAAAAGGAGAATTTTTAGGCTGCTTTTCATTTTCAAAGACCTAGGCCTACCTAGAAGATTAAACTGGGTTGTATGAGTGAGAGGGGAAGAGACTAGAGGCAAGGCTTAGGAAGTTGATGAAACAAGTCAGTCCCCTGCATTCCTGGGGATAGGAATTGAAAGGTCTCGGGTTCTGAAGGGTGGGTGGAAACCTAAGCCAGAGGGTGGCAAGGCTTTGCAAGGGGACAGGTGTGTGAGTGTCCCAGAGGCCTGGGCACTGATGAGCCTTGGAGCAGGTCCCTGTGGCCAAGTCCAGCAGGGAGCATGGGGAAGCTCTAATGCAGCCTCCTACTTGAAGGGGCCCCTGGGCCTGGGCTAAAGCAATGGCAGCAATGGACGACCAGGAGCTAGGAACCAGGAGTGAGGATCTAGGGCCACAGGTAAGGATCTGTCCTATTTTCAAAGTTCACATAAGTCCCACAGTTTTTGTAGGGTCAAAAGGTGAGGAAGAAGCCAACCCAAACTGACTAATACCGGATTTCTCATTAACTTTGTAAGATGAGACTGAGCCAGATTTATCTTTATTTAAAAAGTGAAAAAAACAAAACAAAACAAAAATACCATATATTACTTCCTAAGGTTATAAGGCAATTAATATCCATTAATTATAAAAAATTCTCTGTGTACATGAATTAGGGGTATTTTTCTAGAAGAGGGTTAAGGTTTTCATCAGATTCTCAAAGGGGCATGTGACCCCCAAATGGTTAAGAGTCCCTCATCTAAAACAACCTGCCTATTCTAGAGACGAAAAGAGTAAGGCCAGAGAAGTGAAGTAACCTGAACAAAGTCACATAGCTGGTCACTGCCCCAGAAGATACCACTCTTTATTCGTTCTGCTAAAACAATAAGCGAGAGACCAAACCAAGCACACAGGCCAGTTTTGACAAACATTCTGTTGATAGATAGTTCCTCACGATACCACATTTACCTTATCAACTTTCAAAGAACCAGAACAGAGTTAATCCTAAAACAAACAAAACAAAAATGTTTCTTCATTATCAACGTCTTTATCGAGTTACTATGTACCAGGCACCGTTTAAAGCACTTCCAGGGCCGGCCCCGTGGCTTAGCGGTTAAGTGCGTGCGCTCCGCTGCTGGCCCGGGTTCGGATCCCGGGCGCACACCGACGCACCGCTTCTCCGGCCATGCTGAGGCCGCGTCCCACATACAGCAACTAGAAGGATGTGCAACTATGACATACAACTATCTACTGGGGCTTTGGAGGAAAAATAAATAAATAAAATTATTAAAAAAAAAAAAAGCACTTCCATGTATTCGCTCATTTAATCTTCACAACCCTAAATTAGGTACTATTAAACCCTCAATTATCCCAACTTTACAGATGAGAAAACTAAAACACAGAGAGGTTAAGTAGTTGCCCAAGGCCACATAGCTTTTAGATGTCACAATCAGATTTGAACCAAGGTGGCCTGGTTCCTGAAATTACATTCATTTTTGGGGGCTGGGGGGGAAGAATGATTAGAAATTGATAATTAATTTAGAGTGTAACACATAGATCTTAAGTGAACAGTATGGGTTTTGATAAATGCACACCCTTATGTAACCCATACCCCTACAGAGATACACAACTATCCCATCAGCCCAGAAAGTTCTGTGGTACCCCTTCCCAATCCTGGACAATCTCTTCCATCAAAGCAACCATTGTTCTTATTACTATTGCCACAGACTAAGTCTATCTGTTCTAGAACTTCACATAAATGGAATTATACTGTATGTACATTTTTGTGTCTGGCTTCTTTTTTGCTCAATGTAATGTTTTTGAGATTCGTGCATGTGCTTGTGTATATTAAACATTCATTCCTATAACTTAGCATTCCATTGATTTATTTAACGTAATTTACCAATTCTTTCCATTTTGGGGTTATTACAAATACAATTAATATTTATAGTGTTTTACGAGTCTTTTTGTAGATATATGTTTTCGTTTCTGTTGGGTAATACTCGTCAACTCATAAATGTACACTTAATTTTATAATAAACTACAAAACAATTTCTGAAGCAGTTATACCATTTTACACTCTCCCCCAAAATGAATTAGGGTTCCAGTTATTTCACATCCTTGACAGCATTTGATGTTGCCAGTCTTTTTAATTTTAATCATTCTACGGGGTGTGTAGTGAAGCACACTGAGGTTTTAATTTTCATTTCCCTGATTTCCCTGATGATTAATGATGCTGAGCACTTTTTCAAGGGCTTACTGGACACTTGTATATCTTTCTTTGTGAAGTGTCTGTTCGAGTGTTTTACCCATTTTTATAGGATTGGCTTTTTATTATTGATTTGGAGTGTTTTATATATTTGGGATACATGTCCTTGGTTAGACACCAGGACAAAGCAAATATTTTCTCCTGGTCTGTGGCTTCATTTTCAAGTTCATTAATCTTTTCTTCTGCAGTTTTCAGTCTGTTGTTAAACCCCTCCAATAAACTTTTTTCTTACTATAGCATAGTTTTCAGATCTAGAATTTCCATTTGGTTCCTTTTTTATAGTTCCATTTCTTTTCTGAGATTCCTCATCTGTTCATTCATCGTTCTAAAGTCCTTGTATGCTAATCTGAACATCTGTCATCTTTGGATCTGTTTCTATCGAACTGTTTCTCCTTATGTGTGTGTGTGTGTGTCACATTTTTCTGCTTCTTGCTTATCTACTAATATTTCCTTGGATAGTGGATGCCAAGCTGTTAAAGAGTATAGATTTGTTGTCGTCCTTTAAAGAATGTTGAGTTTGTTCTGGTAGGCAGTTTATTTATTGGAAAATCAATTTTATCCTTTCGAGGTTTGTTTTGGGGCTTTGTTATGGCAGTTCCAGATCAGCCCTCACTCAAGGGCTAGTCTAGCTCTTCTCCTAAGGGGTGGCCTTGCTAGGGTCAACAGAATACCTGAGTTGTTCAGCACGGTCTCTCCACCCCTGGCTGGTTGGAACTCTCATATCTCCCAGCACTGGGCACCTTCCGGAATCTCCATTTATCTCACAGCCTTCCGATAGCTCTTCTCGGCCAGGGCATGCAGAGTCTTGCCCTGCACAAATCCAGCTTAGTATTTGGGCAAGGACTCAAAAAATGCCTTTGTCGATTTCTGGAGACTTCTCTCTGTAAGACTCCCTACTCTCCAGTATCCTGCCCCAAAAGTGCAGCTGGCTTAGCAGCTGAAATGCTGATTTCTGTTTCCTCCACCCAGACTGCTGCTCTCTGGCTCCACTTTCTTTTGTTACAGTTTGGAAAGTGTCCCCGGGGAGACAACTGGGGTGAATTTGAAGCTTATCTTTTGGTTTCTCTTCCCTCAAGGATCACAGACCTATACTGTCTGTGTCTAATGCCAATAAATAATTGTTTCATATACTTTTTCCAGTTTTATAATTCTCTATGGCAGCAGGATAAGTCTGATAACCATTATTTTGACCAGAACCAGAGCTCTGAGTCTTCGCTCATACTGTTTCTTTATTAGTTCAGAGGGGTTATGAGGTTCTTTTTTTTTTAATTTTGGTGAGGAAAATTGGCCCTGAGCAACATCCACTACCAATCTTCCTCTTTTTGCTTGAGGAAGATGATCTCTGAGCTAACATCTGTGCCAATCTTCCTCTACTTTGTGTATATAGGATGCCACCACAGCATGGCTTGATGAGTGGTGCGTAGGTCCGCCCCTGAGATCAGAACCTGTGAACCCTGGGCTGCCAAAGTGGAGCATGCGAACCTAACCACACCACCGGGCTGGCCCCTATGAGGTTCTTTTTGATCTGGTCTCTGTCTAGCTCTCCAGCTTTATCACAAGACTTGTGCTATCTGCATAATTACCCACTTCATGCATATATGCATACCCAAACAGGCACATACACTCACAATCCAAACAATGAACTATTTTCAATTCTTCAAAGATTCTAGTGCTTTCGTCCTCTCCAGGGCTTCCTTCATGTTGTGTCTTTATCTACACCACTTGTATCACTTGTACTATCTCTCGGCTCCTATCTGTCTTTCTGAAACAGCTTAAATATAATTTCCTCTGGTATTTCTGTCATGTGCTCCCATAGCAGCCTACACTTTCTCCAGTCAAAGACACTTAAAACTTTATTATAGTTTCTTATTTAATAAGAATTGTATTTTTCTGCTTGACTCTAAATTCTATGAGGGTAGTATGGGGATTACCCTGTTTGATTATCATAAACACTGTACCACTTGTCAAAATGTCAATTAGAGATTCAGGCTAGTAAAAATACTGGATAAACCTGCTCTTATGATACCCCGAGGGGATTTACTTCAAGTTCTACTCTAACGATTGGTAACCTATCCACATAGACTTTGCTTATATTGCTTTGGGTGTCCTGAATATCCTTTGACTATACAGCCTTCAAGGCAGATTGCCTCATTTCAGTCATCCACTCCTCTCCTCATCATTCCCTGTTGCCTTTACCATCTAAACTGTACGTATTTTTGGTGCTAGGTAATTCTTAAAGCCATCAAAAACCTCATATCTCAAAGAACACACTTTGTTGCATTCTCATAAGACATAGCCTCTGAAAAAACATAAGCAAACCTGTAACTCTTAAACCTTTTACAGGTGTTTTTATGACCATGGCAAGAATTATGTACAGTAAAATTACATTCTTACCATGTGCCTATGAGCTCAGGGGTGAAATTACAGGTACAATTCTTCTGACCACTGAAGGCTGAGAAGAGAGTTCAAACTAAACACCTTGTGACTTTCTTAATTAATACAGTGGCTAGTGCCAAAAACTGTAGCATATAAGACACTGGAGCACACAAGCTACAGGCACCAGTCAGCAGGTGGATGGGATCGTGGGGTTGTAATCATCTATTTTTGTTTCAAATTGACAGATATACATAGATTTTTCAACAGTAATTCAATGTGAGAGAGAGTTCAAAATATATACATGCAACTGCCTACCACAGGTAATGTTACACTCTCACCCATAAAAGTCCCACAAATTTTCAAGCAAAGTTAAAAAAAAACACTTTCCTGAGAAAAGGAAATAATATGATTTAAAATCAAGTGAAAGGAAAAGTAAAACTGAAGAGATTTGAGAAATATCCAATAAAATGTTGAACCAAATGACCTTTTAAGGTCCCTCCAATTCTTAAGATTGAAAAAGTTGGTAATGTAAATTTTCTTCATCGTAAGAAACCTCAAATTTTACCCACTTCCATGGATTTAGGGTTAAGACACTAAGTAATTCATGCAGAAATACCTACCTTTGCACAATCTCACACCTCTTTGGGAGAAGGGTGGGGGTGGGGTGGATCACAAGGTTATCCAAAAGAAACTCATACAGAAGATTACCATATGGGAAGAAGCATACCTAAATGTATAATTTCTCCAAACCATAGATAGTAGCTAGTACAAGTTGCTGGCACTTTGTTACTTACATACTTTTTCTTTTGAGTCTCTAGCTAATGGACACCGTCCTAACTTTAGAAAGAAAAGCTACATATTGCATCTTTAGACATATTAAGAGTCCCAGCAATTGCAAAGAAAATAAGGTGAAGTAACTAAAATTATGAAGTCACTTCTTACCATTGATGTCACCACCAAGGCTGGAGAAAACCCCATCGTAAGATAGAAAAAGAGTTCAACCACCTTATACCTGCAGGATAGAAATGCAGTTAATTTATCTATTCCTACAACACTGAGACCATTTCCATACCAGTTTTTCCTTTTGAAAAAGAAATGTAAACTCTTAACTATTTAAATGAAATGTATTTTCCCAGTAGGAGACCAGTAGGCCTGTAACTAAAATACTGTCATTGAGTAACAATGAACTAGCATTCCTTTCAGGACTGAAAAGGCATCAAAGTCCACATGCTACCTGGAAAATATTTTCTGCCAGAAGTAGTTATCATCGAATCCAATCCACTATGCTTTTCCCCCTTCTAATCCGAGGGTGTTTGCCTTCCAATCCATAGCTTTAAGAAACTGAAATTATGAAGATAGACGGGGATGCCGCTTGGGGCCTGGTTTCTCAGTGGCAAAGGAACAGAGCCCCAAGGAGCAAAGGGCATGTATTTTTGTTTGCCTCTTTATTTTGCATCTGCCCACAAACTCCAATTTGTAAGGCTTCTCACATTAGGCTATAGAATGTCTGAAAATGCTAAGAAACATGGTGTATTGAAATTCAACTTACATTTCTGCCAAGTTAAACTAGACTCTATCTTCCTCACAGGCAGGGGCCAAGTTTTATTCACGTTTGGATCTGCAGGGCCTAGAACAGCACCTGGCACAGTTTAGGTAATGTCCCTAATATCTGCCACACCGAATGGCCCAGGGTGACTCACACCCCATTCTCAGTGTTTTATACTCAAGTCCACCATGAAGTAACATATCAAGGAGCTAGGGAGGAATGGGAGCGTGGGTGTGGTTTACATTAGAAGGCCTGGAATAGGAGGAAGGATAGTTGTATTACTTTACTTTCTACTTTATCCAAGAATATAAATTAGGGCTTTGAATCCTAGAAGCAAACTATTTCCTTGGATTTATATATACTGTACAACACCACTCAGAATTGCTAATTATTGTCAAAAATGCATTCAAGTGAATTTCGAATTTAGAGAGAAGTTAGTGAAAACTACCATTTTCTTCTGAAAAGAGAAAACAATTGAATACTCTGTGATAAACACAAATTATGTTCAATTCCGAGAGCCATTCTGCCAACCACAATAGATAAAGAATTTAATAAACTGTATCCAATGACAATGATTTCATGGTTGTGAGTTTCTCAAACTCAGGCATGTGAAATAATGAAAAGAGCTATGGAATAGGAGTTAGGACACTTGGGTCCTAATTCCAGATGAGTCACTAATTAATGCATGTCCTAAATGTTCTCATTTTTTTTCTTTTTTTTTTTGTGAGGAAGGATTAGCCCTGAGCTAACATCTGATGCCAATCCTCCTCTTTTTGCCGAGGAAGATTGGCCCTGGGCTAACATCCATGCCCATCTTCCTCTACTTTATATGGGACGCTGCCACATCATGGCTTGACAAGCGGTGCCTTGGTCTGCACCTGGGATCTGAACCTGCAAACCCAGGGCCGCCACAGCGGAACACGCGAACTCAACCACCACGCCACCAGGCCAGCCCCTAAATGTTCTCATTTTTTAAGCATGAAGCTGGATAAGACGACTTTGAAGGTCTCCTCTAGACGTAAGATGCTAAATTTCAATAAGCTTTCCTTTTTACCTTGTTTAACACTTCTGACTAAGAGCTACAAATAACAGGTTTAAAAAATTATGCCCCATGGTTAGGATATTAAGAGTTTAGATGCCCTTCCAAACATCCCCTTTCTCAGGAGTCCTAGTCTGGAACATCTTCTAGGTTCCTATCTAGGTAAGTGTTGTACTGGGCACTTCGTATCTATTCTCTTCAATTTCATAGAAACATTGAAAAGCAGTTATTTTTCTCACGTGATAACTGTGTATCACAGAGGATAAGGCCAGTCTACCTGAGGATGTGAAATGAGGTCCAACTGACTCTAAAATGATGGTCCAGCTTGTCCCTTAACTACATCACACCACACAAGTGCCTTCATTTCTTTCTGCAGCAATCTATCCACTAATAATGAATACCAAATGGTTTTGAAAATTTGTTAAAAACAATATTTATTCTATTTATGTATTTCTACTATTTTTTTTTTTTATTTTTATTTTTTTTTTAATTTATTTTTCCCCTAAAGCCCCAAGTGATAGTTGTAAGTCATAGTTGCACATTCTTCTAGTTGCTGTATGTGGGACGCGGCCTCAGCATGGCCGGAGAAGCAGTGCGTCTGTGCGCGTCCGGGATCCGAACCCGGGCAGCCTGCATCGGAGCGCACGCACTTAACCGCTAAGCCACGGGGCCGGCCCAGTATTTCTACTATTTTGAAGTGCAAATATAAGTAAATTGTGTTGTACTGTAGATAAAATTTAGGCAGTTAATTTTAAAACTATCAAATGTAAATTATTTTCTCTTACTTTTCATGGTAGAGAAATACATAAATGGTTCCTCCAGCTGCCATGAGCCAGATAAACCAACGCATATGAGATGCCAGGGGTCCAAGTTCACGGAGATTTAACCTAAAAATGTAAACATGACAACAAAGAACAGAAGTGATAAATGAAGGGAATTCTTATAACCTGTGTTTTCCTCTAGTCTTGAAAACTGGGAAAGCAAGTACTAGAGTAAGACCAGGAAGAAAATGCACTCAACACGCCATGGAGTTATTTGGGCAATTTGGGTAAAATTAATAACTCAAAGACAAAATTGTCAGTCGACCTTTAAGACTCAGAATTAGTTCCAACCTGGTTTAAAAATAGAACGTAGAAGTGAGTCCCATCACATCTGTGGTACCGACAACTTTCCTTAGTAGGCAGACTGCTGTAGAGGTTGCTTGCCTTCTTATTTCTGATAACGTATTTAGGAGCAGATTGCTTACAAAGCTTAATGAGAACCCTGAACAAACTCCTGACCCAGGATCACATACTCATAGTGGATAGCTAATACACAGGTCTCCATTATTAATCTCTCTGCCAAGAGAGAACATGAGAAGAATCAGCCCAACATATGTTATGGCAGACATTTTGTTAGAATTTAACCATGGACTCTTGAGAAGCCTGCATTTTAAAATGCTGCAAATTCATTTGTACTAAATTCATACTAAGAATAGATGAGAAAAAAAACAAATGTTGTTCTGCTTGACTACTACTACAAAATTAATATTTCCAAATGGCAAAGGTACCACCTGCACGTCGGAGACTACATATGAACAAATTGCCTACTGTAATACGATTCCTCAGCCTACATTTAAAATTTTTATTTACTTATTTCAAATTGAGGTATACTTCACAAAAGCCTTTAAGTGTTCTCACTCCAATATGATGCAGACCTATAATTTAGTAACAGGTGATGGGGAGAGAAAGCACTTACTTCTTACTCCAACAGATAATTAGGTTTCTTTTGAATGACAGATGCTGCATTAGTCAGAATCTAGAGGCCTGCTATTTCTAATGACTGTAGTAGTGATGGCATAATAGGAATTTCTAAGTGTTTAAAACTGGACAATGTCTTGACAGAGGAAAACTAATGTTTCTTTAATTATGGGTTTCACAAGAACAAAAGATTCTATCTGATCAATACCAAAAGGGCAGGAAGATCAAGTAAATTGAATTGAATACCGGATAGTTTAAATAGCTAACTAATTTGGCTAGTCCTTTTAATTATATAGCTAAAGAAGTGAGAAATGTATTCCATACATATAGTAGCTACTCTGCTATGAAGTGAATTGAAGACAAACAGTATAAATTTCAAAAGTGAGCTTGTTTTCCTCATACATATTTATAGCATTTCCACTTAAACAATTAGATGTTCAAGTATTCTGAACAGCAGCAGAAGTACATAGAAAGAATACGGAAAGCAAAGGTAATGTATTTCAAAAGTGAGTGAGCTACCTATGCACAAGTTGATAGCATTTCTCTTGAACAATCCAATGCCAAATACATATTCTGAACAGCAGCAACATCCTCCCCTTAAAATACACAATCTGACCCAAGCAAATCAAAATGGAAAGAAAAATGCATGTTATGTATGTGTGTCGAGGGGAAACGGGTGGGGTATATGTATGGGGGCTGAGGACAGGGAGAGGAAGAAGGGAGGAAAGGAGGACTGAGGAATTCTATCATAAAAACACTATCTTCAAAAATAGAAAGACTGTATCTTACCATGGAGCATAGGAAGCAGCAATGAAGAAATAGATGACCATTCTATCACACATGTGAAAACAATGCTCCACTGTCCTAGTGGGGAGAAAAAAAGTTAGACAAAGTTTTCAGAAAACTTTCAGACTGAAAGTATGGGTTATCATTCTACTATGTTTCAATTTCCACTCTTGTTCTAGTTTCTCATGGCATTTATAACTTGGCCTTCAAAGTCAAATAGCTATTTTTTTTTTTTTTTTGTGAGGAAGATCAGCCCTGAGCTAACATCTGATGCCAATCCTCCTCTTTTTTCTGAGGAAGACTGGCCCTGGGCTAACATCTGTGCCCATCTTCCTCCACTTTATATGGGACGCCACCACAGCATGGCTCGACAAGCAGTGCATCGGTGCGCGCCCGGGATCTGAACCGGCGAACCCCGGGCCACCGCAGCGGAGCGCATGCACTTAACCGCTTGTGCCACCGGCCGGCCCCTCACATAGCTATTTTTAATGATATGAAGCCGCTAGTAAAAGCTTTATATTATTTTTAAGATTGCACATACAATAGATACTTACCACGTATGAGATACAGGGACAGAACCTCACAATAATCAGGAACTCCGAGGTGTTTAAAATAAACAAACAAAATCTGTCTTTTCTGATGTCTTCCATTTCTTTTAGATCCTAGCTAACAGGAAAATAAAATTCCTTGAGGGCAGACCACCCCTCAACTTCTATCACATGCAGGGCACGAAGTAGTACACATTTCCCGAAGTCACATTTTTCATGTCTTTTTAGAATATCTTTAAAGAAGCCTTTACTTCAAATAGCTAAGTGTAGACAATAAGTTGTAATAAACTAATTTAAGAACAGCATTAACAAAAAACAAAAAAAAAATGGCGCGTTTGCTGCAAGAGGGTAGCCACTTGGATTTCTAAGCAAGTTCCTCCTTCCAAAACTGACAAGTCGGGAAGTGTAAAAAGATCTGGCTCACTGAGGTCTAGCCACAGAATGGAGAAGACAGAATCCCCCCTTTACTGAGGTAATTCAAACGTATGAATGCACTGCATTGTCTTGAATCCATTGTCAGTGTTCAAGGGGTAGTAGCTATGATTTGGTGGAGCACTAGTATTAAATTTTTGCCTCACACACACACAGTATGAACCAAAGCACGCTGAGGATGTTTTAGTCATGGTTAGTGTTAGTGAAGAAGTGAAAAGAATTGAGGTCACAGGTCTAAAAAAGCGAAAGCTTCTCAAGCTTGACTGCATGTCAGAATCACCTGGGGAGCTCATAAAATATAGTCATGAACTCCAGTCCAGAAGATTCTAATTTAAAAGGGCTAGATGAGGAGGAAGAAGATGGAGGGAAGAGGAGAATATTTTTTTTAACTTCTGGCATGATTATGATTCTTAGCCAGGTTTGGGGCCTTTCTAATTCTGCTTTCTAGATTGTTATGCACTGTTACAGCAGGTAAAGGCAGACCTGCAATTTTATTCAAGATCTGCCACCCACCTCTCTGGCCCTCACTTTCCTCACAGGTAAAATAGAAGTAATACCATATTACTTCTCTATCATAGAGTATGTGTGAGCATTAAATGTGTTTAGCACAGCACCTAGCACATGGTATGTACTCAATAAATGCTAATTCCTTTCCCTCTTTTATATAAATTAAGGCTATACTTGGATATTTAAAAAAAAAATAATGCAGAGCAAAAATCCACACGTGGCTTATGATTCTAGCAGTGCTATTTCAAGGTTCAAGAGAGTCTGGTTTCTATTACACCTTCTTGTCCAGCCCCCAGTAGGGAGGCTCTGCATACTGGAGTAAGCATCTACAACTCTTTATTGATTCCAAAACCTAGACATCAAAGCTGAGTCAGCTGAGGCAACCACAAGCATGGGACTGTGCCAAGAAGATAATGAAGTGCTCTGGCCTCTGGGCTCTGCGACAGTGCGTTCTGAAGAGCCAAGACAGGTACTTGTGAGGCTCTCTTGTGAGCGTCCCAGAGCGCCCTTATGATTCAATGCTGTGCCTTTATTTTAAGCCCAGGGAACTGTCACCTCACAGGCAAAGCTATAAGCAATATTGTGAAGCGTGTGGTGAAAAAGCCAAAGGACTAGGAGTCAGAGGTCCTGAGATGATCACATTCTGCTGGTATCAGTGGCTTGGGCACTTCTCTGAGCCTCAGTTTCCCCAGGTGAAAATTAGGGATCATCTAATCCAAACCCCCTAAGGATATTTCCAGCTCTAAAACTCTATGATTCTGCGTGTGAAGAAACCAGTAATCATCATGTAAATCCCAAATCCTGTTCTGAAAGAAAGCATTCTTAATATTAGATTGTTTAAATAGTTTGAGACTTTTTGGGACATTCCATAAAATCCAAAAGCATATTCTACTATTATTTTAAATCACTCTAAGTCTGCTCTGAATTCTCTTTTTCTGAGAAGAAATTTTGCCCTTTTGGGTTGTGCAGAATCTATTTCATAAGGAACTTATTCCCACCCAAATGGCGTGCTGTTCCCTTTGGATTCCTCCAATTAACACTTCACTCAGAGGAGGAATGCTTTTATGTCCTTCTCTTGGGAGGTTAGGGACCATGGTATTGTCTGGAAAGTGCCTGAAAGCTAATAACAGCAAAATATGTGAATTTTGTTTGAATAGATATCTAGGACCTAATTCTGAAAGCTGAACTTCCAAAATAGTGAACTCAAGCTGTAGTATACCTCCTTACATCACTTAGTGCTAGAGTCTTTTACAATTTTCAAATCATTTTCACATGTATTATCTCATTCACCTATCACAATAACCCTGAGTCAGGCATTATCATTCCCATTTTAGTGATGAAGAAACTGAGGCTCCATGAGGTCAAGTGACTTACGCAACACTTAGTGGCAGGGCTGGACTCTAAGCCCCATTGCTGACTCCCAGTTCAGTACCTTGTCAGTACCCCACAGCTGTCACACTCTCACAGTATCTTTGGTGTGCTTAATACAACTGGAAAATAGGTCTCAGGATTTTAAGTTGTATGTCTTGGGGAAGCAGGGCAATTCTGTTTGTGGTATCTGAGCAAAGGCCTGCTTTCTTAGATACATAGAAGGGTCCTCCAACTCTGTCCAATTCACAGAAAATTTCCTGAATAATGCAAAAGCATTATAGCCTACAAAGCAGGAAAATGTCTACCCTGCCTCACCAGACCAAAACTAGCCACTCGGAGGCTAACCCGAGTGAACTATTCTGTTGCAATAGCGTGCCATTCACTGTACCTTAAGTGGCTCTTTTTCCATGATACAATGTGAAATACTGTGGAAACGATGAAGAGGGCACAGAGGCCCATTCCATAAATCCACGCTGTTATCTTTTCCCAGCAGTCATCAGACAACCGATGGAGGAGGGCACTGCCCACGATGGCCGGAACAATGAGGAACTGAAGGAAAGGCAGAGAAAAGTAAATCTCCTAAGTTTTACTGAATCGAGACCTTTGTTAAAAATACATAAGTTTACCAGGGAAAATTTTAGAAAGATTATTTTAAAACAAACATTTGCCTCTCCTGGATAACCACAACAAGAGCCAGGTAAAGTTGTTGGTTGCTGCATTGGAAGCAGGTACTGCTGTTCAGAGCCCACACCTATTCAATAATTTTAAGAGACCAGAATCTTAGAGAGAATTTTGCTTTCTGCACCATATTTTATAATTCATATGGACACAAATTTCAGTGTCTAGTCATATCTGTATGACTATCACTAGACTAAACATTTTATATTAACAGACACACTCAGGAGAAATAAACTACTTTATCAGATGCTAGAATAAGCATACCTGGCACAGAATGCAAACTTTAATACTCTTATCTTTTTTTTCCCCCAACACCTATTTTTGCCCCCTTGCAACAGAAGACTAAATCCCCTAGACAAGACGGGCATTGAATTTTCAAATGCTGAGGTTTTCATTGGCCCAGATGAAATGAGAAAATTAAGAACAGTAAACAATAAAGTTCTTATAAAATAGAATTTAAAAACAGAATTTAATTATTTTGAGATTATGCCCATCCTACTTTTTTCTTATTAAAGTATCCTCTCTTTAATAAAATGATGATGATGGACATTTTGTTTTGTTTGTTTTAGAAATTTTACTACTCTCTGAAATTCAAAAACCAGGGATACAGTTTATTAAGATGACATTTTTTTTTTTTGTCAGGGAGATCGCCCCTGAGCTAACATGTGTGCCAGTCCTCCTCTTTTTTTTTTTTTTTTTTTTTTGAAGACCGGCCCTGAGCTAACATCTATTGCCAATCTTCCTCCTTTTTTTCCCTTTTTCTCTCCAAGGCCCTAGTAGATAGTTGTATGTTGTAGTTGCACATCCTGCTAGCTGCTGTATGTGGGACACGGCCTCAGCATGGCCTGACAAGTGGTGCGTCGGTGCATGCCCGGGACCCGAACCTGGGCCGCCAGCAGTGGAGCAAGTGCACTTAACCACTAAGCCACGGAGCCGGCCCCCGAAGATGACATTTTCTATTCTAAAAAATTAACATGGAGGTTTTGTCAATTTTTCCTCTTACTTTGTCTTTTACTAGTGTTCCTTAACTTGTGACAGATCTAGAAGAGATAAGTTAAGGAATTATTCAGGTCCATTTCAAGCAAATATTATTCCTAAAGGTGAGCTGTGCATCTCAGTAGCCAAACTATTATACTTAAATGCTCAACACTATGCTAAGTAATAAGCACTTCATTGACTGCTCTTACTGGTCCCTAGTATGAAAACTATCAAGGCACTATTTTCATAATTTTTATCAGTGTTGTGCAGTTGGTAAATGGAGAAAATAATGGATGTATACTGGAGCCATGAGTGAACAGGCCATATAAACTAACTGCTATTCAAACTTTTATATTCCTTATATCCTAATCCTGATCTAGACTTAAATACACATGCATGTGCGCGCGCGCACACACACACACACACAAACACACACGCTTATTTTCTTAGGGGCCTGTGCACAACGATTATCTTCAGAAATAATTTTACTTTTAGCTTTATTAAATTCATTGAATATTTAGTCAAGAATAAAAGATGGAAACCCAGGCTGGTAAAGGAGACAATCGAATTTGGCTGTGCACTCTTTAAAACCAAGTTTGGACTGCAAACATTTTGACCCTCTGTGTTGTGAAGCTCGCTTCACATGAGTGTGTCATTAAGGCAAAGCCAGGGGTCAGCTCAAGTCTAGAGAATTCCACTAAATCCCTCCTGTCCCCAGAATCTACCCCAGGGAGACTGTCCACTAGAGAGGTTACTCCAAATTTCATTACTGAAGCCCTTTTACGGAATCCAGGGCAGGCATGTCAGGTACTAACTTTTTTCTAAAGAAATTTTAACAAGATTCCAGCATATAAATTATTTAAATAAAAATCTTTTTTAGCACCTAGGAAAAAAGGACACCCAGTGATAAATTAGTATGATGTTTCAGTATTACCAAGTAATGTCTGAAGACCACTATTACAATACATAAAAGAGAGGCTTTATAAAGTTTGATTTATGCTAAGCAATGACCAAATGGCATTGTTCTATTAGATTATAAAGAAATTCACCAAAAACTAGTTTATTCTGGGTTTATTTGGCATCATGATTCCTTTACAGAAAACATCATGACTATTCTTTGGCGGTAGGGGGTTGGGGGGCGCGTTAAAGAAATGAAAGGCACAACTTAGTTCAAGCAAATTTTATTTTAATGACATATGTATGTAACCTACATATTGTACCAACACTGTCTAAAATAAATTAAAGCAGCCTGTTCTAAACACTCTTCACTAAAGGAGTAAATTGGTCTCCTCTATTTCTTGTCTTCAGACTATATCACCAGCCACCATTTTTCCCTCAAAAGTCTTACTAAATGCAACTTTCAAAGGGAATATGAAATCACACATCAAGAGAAATTTAAAATGACACAAGAAAATGCCAATAGTATGACACTAATAGGAAAACTATGAAAATATGTACATATTCACAGATACCACAGTCAAAAAGAAGAAATGCACCAAATTATTAACAATTTATTTCTGAGTAGTTTTGTTTTTCTTATATATTCTTCAATATTTTCTAAGTTTCTTATAATGAGCATGTTTTACTTTTATAAGGAAGAAAAAAATTAAGAATTTAGGGATCAAATCAGCTTTTTCTTCAACAATATGGAGTAACATCTGCTCTGAGAAGCACTGCCCACTGTTGGGGTGGGGAGGATGCGGCTACCTGTTTCAGAGGATCACTTAGTAAAAAAACACCTTTCCAACAAACTATGAACTCTCCTTGCCAAATGAGTACAGCTGACTGTCTTAAAAAAGCGATTCATTTCATTCTAGGGGTGACAGTCTTCATAAACAGTTTTCCTACAACTCGGGTACTTACTATTATTATCCTTTTAAAGAAGATCTTGCCAGAGAAAGCAAGTCCAGGATGGACAGAGCTGAGTGTAGGCTGGAGCACTCAGTCTCTGACATGCTCATAGAGATTCTGGTGACATGACCCAGCACTGATACCCTGGTAGGTAAGGTCACAGAGATGGCTAAATCCAACTACTCAGGCTGAGGTTACTGGAGATAATTGCCCGTTCCTCTGACCAAAGCCCTTCAGGAAAGATGAAAAAGGCAGAAAAATTATACTCACTGCATGTGTGTAACAGTTAGCAGCATGTTCATAACAAGTTGGTTTGTAGCGGCCATTGGCTGGGGCCCGGTGGTTCATGAACCTTTGGAAACAAAAAGACATCATGTGAGAAAAGCTCGAAGCCTGTGAAGAACAATGGGGAAGCCTGCCAATGGTTGTCCGGTCTGTTCTAAATGAAGAAGCGACTGCTAGAAATACCTAGTTATGGGAACAAAACCAAAGCCACCAAACAGGTGTAAACTGAGCCAACAGCAGTGGTCCTGAACCAAATGCCCCAGTTTATTGGATTAAGTATTCTTTCAGTTTATTAAAAGAAAAAACTTCTACCAGCCAAAAGCAAACAGAAACCAGCCCCTTCAACTGGTACCACCCCCCCAAAACTATATAAAAAAAATTAAAGATAAAAATGGGCACAACCAAATCTTAAATCGTGACAGAAAAACATCATAAGTATTTTTCTAAACTTTACAAATGCAGGTCGCTGCCATTAAATGAAAAGGGATACAACATATTTGAAAGGTTTCTATTTTCTCTCTCAAAATTTATAAAGCTTTATACATGTAGATCTTTAAACCCTACATCCCATGATTAGCAGGCCTATCCAACCAGTTTCCCTATATTGCATTACCTGTTCCAGATGGCTCAAATAAATGATACCTGGCTGCTTGTGGGCCAGCCACCAAGAGGTACGTTTTCACCTGCATTCTTCCTGAATTAAGAGTTTGCTTCAAAACCCAAATATATGACTAGGACCTGATACTTCAGCTATAAAATTCATATATACACACAAATGTGTGTATGTATCTAAATACCAAAATCTATTACACATATAGACATGTGCCCACATTCTATACTTGCTTTGGGTTAACTTGGTGGCAACCAGCAATCCTACAGTGAAAAGCACCAATACCATCAGACCTGAAGAGATGAACGTGTCTTCCATTTGTGTGTGGGTGAGGATCCCCCCAAAACCAACCCATAGCCCTGCCATGTTTCATGAAGGATTCCGGGTTAGTGTGTCTGTTCTCTGGAAAAAGGGAGATAGAAACTCAGGAAGATAAAAGAGCAGCTGCCTAAAAGAAGCAGACGCAGAGAAACAAACGGACGTGAGACAGCACTCAGATCTCAGCACTCAAGCTGCATTCCTGCGCTTGGAGCCTGCATGATGTCAAGAGGCTTTGCGCTATAAATTATCCTTTTGCTTGAGCTAGTTTAAGCTGGGGGAGGGCGATTTGTTATTTGCCACTAATGAGTTCTGACTAGTCACGTCTTATTAATTAACACGATGAAAAACGGTACCACACTGAACCAAATGGCAGAGCCAGGTTGTCAAAAATTGGCTAAAACAAATGGTCAAGCCATTCTAAACAGTGCCCAGTTTATTAACAAAAGACTAGCACTTTCTCCCTGAATTAAGAAGAGCCTGTTATCCTTAGAGCAAATAAATAAAAATAAAATGGCAGTCTCTATTAACCCAACATGGAGAGTTCAGGTGGAAAGTCCACTGGGGAATGAATTTGGGACAATGAATATATTTCACTTGGACTACCAATGGGTTAGCTATCCAACTAACTATATTGGATATAGTTGATATATATTGGATATATACTGGATATCCAACTAACTATATATCCAACTAACGTGCAAAATATATATTGAATAGAATTCACCAGATGTCTGGAAAACCGCTTAAGAGAACATGGAGTTAATTCCTTCACAATTTATCCAAGCTATTCTCTCACACAGATAAATAAATCTTTTCTCCCCTGATAATCCTTTAAATAATTTTACTAATTTCTTGAGGGACAAGAGTGTTGCTATACAGCTCTTATTAGTAAAAAAGAAAATAATTATACTCTTGGGAAGAATGCTTTAAAAGCGTCCCAAGCATTCAAGAATCTACTACGTCATTACCCTGAGACATAACAACAGGGCTATGAGAAGCATACCCTATTAGGAATTGCAAAGGGTAAAGAGCAGGCTCCAAGATGCTTGAGGGTAGACGCAATTGAGAGTGCTCTGTGTGGGGAACAGTGAGTGAGGTTTGTCTACCCACCACCAGGCTGCAGCCTAAAATAGCAATTTATATCTCTGGCAGCCCAATCTAAAAATAGTCAGGCTGTTACACAGCAACACGGACAGATTTTCACATTTTCTCCTAAAAGCAAAGAAGCTGGGTGCCATGTTTGTGACTGCTTAGTTCCTGCCCACCTGGAATCACTCAGGTTAAAAATAAACTCGAAGTCGTAGAGAAAAACATCCCACCCCTGGTGACTTAAGGTGGGCTCTCGTTATGGACAGAGCCAAATTTGGGCAATAAGGGAAGAGCAGCTATGCTAGAAGCAGAGCACTGTCTGGGGCTCAAGGGATTGACAGCACAACTGTTCCACTGGGAAACTGATAATGCGATTTTTCCATTTCTTTCTGATCTGCCGGGGTACAATCAAGCCTCGATTTAGCCTCCTGAAGAAATCACAAGGAAGAAATCATATCACCTAAGACCTAAACGGAAAAGCAGATGTAAAATGCAATTCAACTCCCACACACCGAGCCTCTTCTCTTTCCCCTGCAAAGAATGAGGAAGGTTCTCAAGTGTTATGGAAAACAGCACCCATTTACGGGAGACACCCCTAAGGCAAGTAACACCACGAACGGTTCCCCAGTGCTAGAACAGAGTATCCAGCATGCTTCGGAGGGTCTGCGGGGAGTGGATTTAGTCCTGAGTATGCGAACCACACTTAATAGAGCTATTAGTTAGTGAGGGTTTGGTCATTCATCACTTTCTCTTTCAACACTCTCTCTTGCTTCCCCTTGGCCCAGTGTCCTTATGCTCTCCCCGCCATGACAGAATTTCAAAACTATGGAGAGAACAGATAGGGACTCACAGGGGGACACTCCTCAGCACACTTTAAATGTAGCCCATAGCACTGTGCCTTCAGAAAGTAAATCTACAACCCATCAGCAGATCTCAGAGGCCCAAGATTAAATCCCAGAACTTGTCCTTATTCTTATGTGTTCCTCATTCTCCAAATGCAATGATGTCCATGCTTCCTTCAAAATATATTCCAAATCAGTCCACCTCTCTACAGTTCCACTGATCCTACCTTAAATCAAGACATCGATGTCTCTGGTCTCTGGTCTCGAAAAATACAAAGTCTCTTAACTGGTCTCCCTGCTTCTTCGCATACGGACTCTCTTCTTTATACAGCAGCTGCAATAGTCTATTAAAACTAGCTCACACCACACACCCCAACCCCAGCTTAAACCTGTCTTTGGCTTCTCAAGTGCTTAGGATAACACTGCAACCCCTCAGTGGCCCACAAGCCCTATTTCTCCAGCCTCGGGTGCCACCTTCCTCTCACTTTCCACCCTCCAGCCACACCACCTCCTTTCTGGTCCTCAAACCACCAAGGTCTTGTCTGCCTCATGGCAATGGCATTTGCTGTTTATTTCTGCCTAGAACATTCTTTCCCAGAATGATCAGCTTTCTTCTCACCAGTCAAACTCCGCTCAAATGTCACCTCCTCAGAGGGTTTCCTGACTGTCCCACCTAAAGTATCACTTCAGCCTTCCCCACCCCACCAGAGCCCTTATCACAATTAGTAAGAATCTGACTATTTAAACTTGTTTATTTTTTATTTCATCCTTTCCCCTGTAATGTGAATTCCATGAAGGCCTCTTGTCCACCACTTCATTTCCAACCCCAAGTAGAATGCCCAGCTTGTTGCTGGAGCTTAATAAATAAGTGCTGAATGAATGGAAAGACAGACATTCCGGCTGCTGCTGAACTATTTTATCTTAACCGAGAGATATTCCATCGTCAATTAGTTTCACTGGGGATTCAGCAGGTTCTGTATGTAACAGAGAAACCAGCAGTCTTGGAGCCAAAAGAACCTGAATCTCATGAAAAGAAAATTCTTAAAGGCCAAGACCATGGATATTCCAAGGGCTCCTTCAGCATCACCTGATGGGGCAACATAAGCTGATCCCTGTGCACAGCATCTTATTATTAGCTCTCCTTTATAAATGAGCATGATGTTCAGGAAAAGTGTCCACTGCTAGAGGCAGTAATACTGTTGGGGGACATTTAACTTCATTATATAATAAGGGAGAAAACATATATAAGGAGACTGCTCCATGCCTATGATTCAATGCTCTGAGAACGTGGACAAAAAGACAACAGGCAGTCCTGGAAGACTTCCTGATGCTTTAGAATAAGAAGCTTTACCACATTTTCAATTAGAAGCTAACCAGTGGTCACGAGGCTGGGGCTGAGGAAAAGAGCGTCCTTTTCCTTGGATTTTTGGTTGCCAGGCTGGAGAAATAAGTATGCACCAACAAGATAACAGTAGAAGCTCTGTGGGTCCTAGGCCTCTACACTGAACATACATATGTTGTGGTGTGGGCAGGGAGACAGAAAGAGGTGAACTGGCAGCATGGGTGGTGGAGAGGGACAGGAAATTGAACTCTTGGGCCTGCCTCTTCCTAGGTGTGTGTTTATGGCAAGTTCCCCTCTAGTCTCCAACTCTATTTGCTCTTCTATTTAATAGGTATAAAATTTGTCTTCCAGGATTACAGTTAAGGATGAGATGAGTAATATACAAATACTCAGACCCTGCCCAGCACAGGTAGGCCCTCAATAAATATTAGCAGTTATTCTAATCAGTCAGATGCACTGTGAAAGGGAGAGAATGACTGTGTGTGTGTTAGGCGGGAGACCCAGGTGTGGCAGGGATAAAACAAGAGAGATAAAATACGCTCCGTGTTTCAGGGGGATTTTTCATATCCTAAGCTTTCTGAGAAGCCATGCATGCATAAAGCCCTCCACTTAGGACAGTGGGCTGTCTCCTCACAGCCCTCCTCCAGGGAAGGGGCAGAACTCTGGAACTCCAGAAGTTGATCCAAAGCCACAATGAACACCAAGTTTCCATTGTGAACAAACCAACGAGGTGTTCAGGTTTTCTTATAATTTAGGCATAGCCACAAACTATGGCCTAATGAAATGTTTTTATTGCAATCAAATGTGCTTCAGTTGAGTCCTGATAAATCTATCACAGGAGCACATGTGTTCAAATACTGCATGTCCCTTCCTCCAGTTCCTCTGTAATTTACCTACCTGTAACTATCATGAATGCTCAAAAGATGTATAATGAACACTGCTTTAAGAGGTACAGAATAGTACTCTCAACATTTTAGTGTGTGGACGACAAAAAACCAGGACTTTTTGTTTTATTACTTTTTATTTGCAGGCTTTATGTCCAAGTTCAAAGTGACCCTTAGAAATATCTTTCCAATCTAGCCTATAATAGAAAAACAAGAAGTTATGGGATCATTCCATCTTCAAAGAAAATCAGGGTAGGTCTAGATGTCATTAAGAAAATAACTGTTAAATATCCATTGTTATTGTGCAGCCACTGAGAAAATTACAAAGTCTATGCCAGCGCAAAAGAAAATGCCTGCGTTTTTCGTTTTTAAATGAATGAAGTAGAGCACAAAATCACATTATAACTGTGATAATAAGGACCGAATAGATTAGCGTCCAGCAAAAAGAAGATAGTTCAATCAGCTGAGATGGTAGGATCCTAAATGAAGTTTGGTTTTTTTTTTCATTTCTCTTAACACTTTTTTAATGTTTGTGCAACATATAATAAAACAGGCTCTTTTTTTTCTTTCTAGAGAGGATTTCAAAGGATAGGAAAGAAATACAAACTCTTTTTTTTTGTTCTTGAGGAAGATCAGCCCTGAGCTAACATCCATGCCAATCCTCCTCTTTTTGTTGAGGAAGACCGGCCCCGAGCTAACGTCTATTGCCAATCCTCCTCCTTTTCTTTTTCCCCCTTTTTCCCCCAAAGCCCCAGTAGATAGTTGTATGTCATAGTTGCACATCCTTCTAGTTGCTGTATGCGGGACGTGGCCTCAGCATGGCCAGAGAAGTGGTGCGCGCCTGCAATCCGAACCCGGGCCGCCAGTAGCAGAGCGCACGCACTTAACTGCTAAGCCATGGGGCCGGCCCCGAAATACAAACTCTTAATCAAATAAGAAAGGGTAATTTCACAGAATATTGCCACTGTTCTCTGAAAACAGGAAGAGCACAGATGTGCAGAGAAGTAAAACCAAGTCAAACAAACCACATGCACGGGGCTTTGCCAATCATGCCCGAACACATGCTACATTCTCCCTTCAGACTCTCCGTGCCTGACTTCATGTTCTAAAGCCAGATATCACGGTTCCTCTTTGCCTTTAGAAGCACTGATAAGATGTTCCCACTGGGGGAACAGTGCCAGGCATTCAGCACACCCCGAAGCAGGAGCAATATTCATAAGTTGTTAAGCCAAGTCTTCAAACGGATGGCCCTCCTGATGGCACAGTCCACCACAACTCTTCCTATGCATTTTTGGCTCCTCTACCCTTTGGGACCGGTGGGGGAATGAGACAAGCATAATGGGTGAACGGGCAACGAGGGATTAGGGAGCTGGAAAGAAAAAAAAGTGCACTTTAAATGTCTGAAATAAAAGGCAGTGCCTAAAAACTCAACAATAATCTCCTTAGTAGGTTTCATGCATTCCTTTTCTTCTCTCAAATCCCCCCTGTCACTGCACACTAAGCTAGCCTGCTGGTGAAGGTCTGGGAGTGGGGACGGCTGCCTGATTCAGACAAAGGGATGGAGAGTTACCACAAACACAGGAGAGGTGAACTTTCACCCACTTAAAAGGAAGAATTAGAAAAAAAGCCCAGAGCTTCCTCTCTGAACCATGGGCCAGTCTCCATCCATTGCTAGATGGCAGAGACCCAGAGTCGGGATTAAGGCCACGGTGCCTCTCCAGATTGGTGTTCCCACCAGCTCTCCAGCGAAAGACCGGCCGGCTAGCCTTCCGGTGGCGCCTCTTGGGTTCCTCCTCCCCGGTTCCCAACACAGGCGCCTCGACAGTAGGTCTCACCACCGGAAAGCTAACCTGCCCCTCCGCAGGGCCCAAAATAGCACCGCCCTGGGACGCTGAGCCTGAGAACCAGCAAGTACCGGACGTGGCCAGGCAAGGCTAAAGCAGCGGAGCGTGCCTCAGTTTCCCTATTGCTAGGGCGGTTCACAGACAAAGCACCTACCATGTCCAGCACCCCCTCTTTACCACAAATCTCGCTGCAGAGCGCAACAGCCACCCGGGGCCCATTCCGCACACCCGGGGAGCCCCCCACGCCGGGGATAAGAGGTGGAGGCCAAAGCCGGGGTCGGAGGACCCGGGGGCGGCGCCTGCAGCCGGGGTTCGGGTCCTCAGAGCAAGCAAGAGCCCAGCCTGGATGGAAGACGGGAGGGTGAAGCCGGGTGAGCAATGGGATCTCCTGGGAGCAGGGCAGGCTCCGGGTCCGGGGTCTGGGAAACGGAGGTCTACAGATCGCGAAGGGGAACCAGGGTCGAGCACGAGATCCCGGTCCTCGGAGGAAGGGGATCGCCCAGGGACAGCAGGGCTGGGAATCCCCCGGGAGCTGGTCCCCGGCCAAGGTGCCGGATCCACGGGGGGATGGATCCAGGTGAGGAGCCGGGACCCACGCGGGAGGAGGCGGGATCCGGGACTCGCTCCCGGCACGGGTGGCGGGGCGGGGGCGCCATCCCTCTCACCGCTGGAATCGATTCTTGAACCGCATTGATCCTCCGCTCCTCCTCGCGGGCCGGGAGCTCCGTCTCGTCAGCGCCGGCGGCCGGGCGCGCGGCCCTCATGGGCTTGGGCTGCTCCGGAGGCCGCCCGCGTGCCCGGCGGACCGCTCGGCGGGGCAGGGCCGGAGTGGGCCAGGCCGGGGGTCGGGACAGGGCCGGGGCCAGACCCGGCGGCTGGGGGCGGGAGGGAGGCCGCTTAAACGGCCCGGTCGCCTCCCGCCTCCCGCCTCCGGCTCCTCCGCCCCCGGGCGCCCGCGCCCCGCCCCGGAGCCCGGCTCCACCCCCGCCGGCTCGGCCCGTCTGCGTGCTCCCGCCTGCCAGCGCGTCACCGCGCCGGGCGGCCAATCAGCACCCCGAGCGGCGCGGCGGCAACGCTGCCTTCCATTCCCGCGGGGCCTGGGCGGAGGGGCGGGGCCTCGCGGCGGAGGGAAAGACAGCGGGAAGGGCGGCGCGCTGATTTAAGGGGTCGAGGTGGAAACGTGAAAACAGAAAAGGCGGGGGGTGGGGAGAGGACGAGCAGTTCTAAAGGAGGAGATGAGCCAAGAATCTCAAAAGCAATGGTGAAGAAAATAGCAGCAAACAAGCACCCCTGTCTGAGCTCTAGTCCTGGCTCTGTGTCGTTCATCCATGCTTCACCCTTCATTTCTCCATCCCTCCGTTCATTTATTCCTTCATCATTTTGAGGGTCAGCTCTGCCTAGGCTATTGCGCGAGGCTGCGAAGCAGATTTAAAAACCTTTCCTTGTCCGTCATACGTGGAGGTTGAAATCACTAAGGCATCCTCTAACTCTGAGATTCCATGAGAACCACAAACGCAGGTATCCTCTGCAGGGATCCTTTTATGTTGTCCTCCAATTTATTTATTTATTTTTATCCGAACAGCTTCCAAATAAACCAAAAAGTAGGTTGAATCGGGGTCCTGTCGCTAAACTCAGGGCTTGCTGGAAGAGAGGTTCAAAGGAAAGTGAAGGATGGGTGACTTCTTGATCCTTTCCCTTACCACTCCTGGAATTTAGATGTGCTCCCCTCCAGGTAGCCTGTCCACACCTATCCCCCTACACGCCAAACCGGAAACTCAGGGGGACATTAGGCCAGCCTGTTAGGAGTGTTTACTCTGCCTGCAGTGGAGCATTGAAAAGTGCTGGGAATTCTTTCACCCGGTAATTCAAGTTTCTTTAACACCTTCCAAGTGACAGGATCTAGCAGGGTGCTTTCCGGGTTATTTCATTAATTGCCCCAAGAAATCCAGGAGACAAGGGTTATCTTACCCATTTCACAGATAAGGAGGCTGAGAGGTTTAGAAACTTGCCACAGGCAAAACTAGGATCTATACCTAGCTTTGTCTCACGTTAAAGTCCCAGATCCCTTAATTACACCAGATTGCCTCTCCCTAAGTTTTAAAGTAGTATATGTCTTTAAAAAAAGTTTTTTTTCCTACAGCAAGTCAGAAAAATGAGCATGAATTGGAAGTTGACTAATCTGCTTTGTCGGGCCACTGGGCTAATGAATTGGTGGGGGAAGGGAAGGTTACAAAGGAAATAACTAATAAAAATAGATAAAAAATAATGTTATGAAGTAACATAAGAAGGACTGAAAAAACAAATAAACCAACAGACGCCGGGTCACATCCTATCAATGACTTAGGAAGGTGCAGAGATAAGCTATCAGAGTGTGATGGGGCTAATTAGGGAAAGGAGAGCAGGAGAGAAGGAAGTCTGGAGATGGATTTTGAAAGAGATGATGGGCATGACTTGGCACAGCTTTTCATATGGGGAGAATGGTTTGAACAAAGATGAGAAGTAGTTAGTATTGGGAAAATATGTGGGAGGCCATGTAGGTTTAGAAACACCAGTGTGAATAGTATTTACCCAAGAAAAAAAATGAGTGCGATAAAAATCAGATTCAATTGTTAGAGTAAAATACCTTGACCTACAGTGGTCTCTTCCACAAAAATGCAGAAATATTAACTGAAAGTGGCTTGTTTAAACAATATGATGGCAAATTTCAATCAGCCTCATTGTTGGTGAAACTCTCCCCCAAAAGTAAAAGCGAACCTCAAAAGATAAAAATAAAACACAAGAAACAGCTTTGAATTAATTATGCAAACACCTGCCACACGTTTTTTTTAGAGTGGTGTCTGTTTGAATCTGTTTCTGAGGAGGACTCCTGAGTTTGTTTACAGAGAAGAGGTACTAGATTCTACTTAGAGATTAGTGTTGCAGGAGAGGAAGAAAATGGAAAGGTTTCCGCATTAGCAGGATGTGATATTTTTGTTGAGCTCTGAGATATAGTTCTTTCTGCAAGACTGCAGGCATATTTGCATGGGCAGGGCCTGTGCCTAGAAGAAAGGATTTGTGATGTAGCCGAAGCCAGCTGCAAAGGAAACTCTTGGGAGAACGCCTGCTCTGCTCGCTGAGGAACAGGATGCTAACCGTACTAGGAAGCACCTGGAATCTAGTCCACTGGCCGGGATCATCCAATCAGAAAGTAGCAGCTCTGCTCCAGACTGTGACTCCAGATGCACCAGGAAGGTTGCCTGAACTTCTGATCACAGGTCTTGTTCTGTGACTGGTTTCACTCTGTCTCTTTACAAATATGACAAAGTAAAGTAATTATTAAAATGTAAATGCTCCCAGCCTTTCCCCTTTCCTGAAAAGAGGAATGCTGTCTTTTCCTACTTAATCTTTTGCCCACATTCCCTTATGCTATGGTCTGAATGTTTGTGCCCCGCCCTCCCAAATTTGTATGTTGAAATCCTAATGTTCAATATGATAGTATTAGGAGGAGGGGCCTTTGGGAGGTGATTAGGTCAACTACTGCTCTCGTGAATGACACTAATGCCCTCATAAAGAGATGAGAGCTCCCTGGCCCTTCCACCATGGGAGGACACGGGGGAAGTCAGCAGTCTGCAACCCGGAAGAGAGCCTTCACCAGAACTCAACCATGATGGCACTCTGATCTTGGACTTCCCTCCAGAACTGTGAGAAATAAATTTCTGTTATTTATAAGCCAGCCAGTGTGTGATATTTTGTTATACCACCCTAATTGGACTAAGACACCTGACCTTTGAGGAGTACCTGTCTCTTTCATGCCCGGTTCCTGGACTTCCATGATGAAAAGAGTTGGAGAAAACAATGGGAAGAAAAAGAGATCCAGAGAGAAAGGAAGGGCCTTGGTAGATACGCTATATTGATCTACCGGATGAAGATGAGTAGGAGAAAAAACATTCCATGATCTGGGGGTTACTAGTAAAGGTTTTTGAGGTGGGAAGGGATTTAAGTAAGACGATTTGTAGAATTGTGGGATATGAGAACAGGAAAGGGATTATGAGAAGTTCTGCTAAGAGTAGGAGTTGGATACTCTAGTATTTTCCAACAACTAAAGTTGAGAGTCCCTTTTTTATTATTCTTGGCTGTTTGGTTGTATTTATTTGAAGATGATTTCTTTCAGAAACTGGACCACATGGGTGGGGAATGTACAATGGTTACACAATTTCAACTCTTTGAGTGCCAAGCATGGTCCTGAAACTTTTACATCTATTAGCTCATTTTATCCTTAAGACCATCCTGTAAGGTACATGGTATCATATCTATTTTATACATAAAAAAGTGAAAGCTTACAGAGGTTTTGTGAGTTACTTAAATTTGAAAGTATAAGTGAAAAAATCAAGATTTGAACTCAGGTTTTCTGATTCCAAGACCAATGCTTTTTCCCTCCATGCCTCATCAAGGTATATGACTGTGTGTCATTCCTCACTGCAGCCAGTCGTGTTCTATTCTCAGTGAAAAATCAATACATGACATTCTGCTGGCAGAATGGTTGTTTCCCTGACCACCACCCCCTTCCACAAAAAGAACATTATTTGAACGTAGATCCCTCATGATGTTTTTAAAGTCCCTGCTGAGCACAGAGGGTCAGGATTGCTGCAGCTCTTTCTTCCAAAGAAGATTTGAGAGGCGATGAGGATAAGTGAATACAAAGAGGACCCCAAAAGACCAACACAGGAACGAAACAAAAGTTGATGGGAGTGGTTCTCATAGTGTGAGTCAGAGGCCACAAGATCACACTAGGGACTTTCGTATTAGTCTGTAAGAAACTCACGTCTACACTTTTGCTTCAGTCAAAAAGAATAAAGAATTATATTTAACAAAATGCAGATACCCCTTAATTGGGGTCATTTAGCATTTATTTTAATACTTTTTGTTTACTTAGGTTTGGGCAATAGGAAATTAGTGAGGCTAGTCAACCTGTGAGATCTTTTATTCTACCAAGGTCAAGGAGGAACTGAAAAGATTCGAGAGGTTCTTGGTGCCTTGTGTGGCCTCCGCTATTTTATTTGCTCATGATAAATAAGAAGTGCTGACAAAGATGAAGTGTAACTTCTCTCGAAGAGAGAAAAGCAGAGTATGTGGGTGTGAATACCCATGAACATTTCTAAACTCGCACACACTGAAAGATACTGCTCTGAAACTTCACCTGCTGTTGTCAAGTGTCCAGTCCTAGTGTCATTCATTTATTTGTAAACCAAATGCGACTGGGCCACCTTGCACCTGCTATATGGATTTCAGTGAATGTGGAAAAGGGAATTAATTACATTGTGTATCACCCATAAACATCTCTGTCTCTCCAAAGTTCTACATCCTTTGGGAGTTGCTATTTCTTTTTCTCCCAAATAACCCTATTTCCCCACTAACATATGTTCTCCACACCAATGGGGAAAACTCCCCACCTCCAGGAAGTCTGTCTGTATATTTTCTCATGCAAGAAAATTTGCTCTTTCTCTTTTGGTTTCTACTATTTGCATCCCCAACAATCACTCTGCTGAGCAAAACAAAGGGTCTTCATGGAGATCTACCCTCTTTAAAAGATGCAGGAAGGAAAGGACTTGAAAATAACTAATAACTTATTATTTTTCTTTATCACACATTTATTCAATGGACATTTATTGAAAGTCTAATGGGCATATAGGTGCTGCGTACAAAGTTGAATAAGATGCCCTATCATCAAGGAACCTCCTGGTGGTGGGAGAAAGAACCAATTGACCATAAATCACTGTTCAGTGTGTTAAATGCTATGATGGAGATTGTTCATGATGCTTTAGTGGCACATAATAAGAATCTCTAATGACATTGAGGCAGGTTGGGAAGAAGAACTTTTAAGAGGAGATGGCATTGGGTCGCAGTACCCAGTGATTAGATAAGAGAGAGTAAGTAAGCTCAACAATAAAGAAGTTGACATTCAAAGGAGAGAGAGCACAGCATATGCAAAAGCACGATGTGTCTGAAGACC